AATGAGGCGAGAATATGGCGGACCAGTGTCCCAGTACACGCTGCGGATCGATAAAGATGACGATGTTATGCTCGTAATAAAGTATACGCTCGAACACCATTAAAAACGACGTAAAATTGCGATTTTTAAAGGTGTTGTCTGCTCGAATCATATTTACCCGCAGTCTCGAGGCAGCGAGAAGACGACAGCGGCTCTCCTAACAGCGAGGCGTGGGCGCGTTCCAGGAACATCTGTTGGCGGCGATTGGAAAGTTGCCCGAACAAAAAGTTGTAAACTATTTCTGTCCGACACTCTCAATAATTCGTTTTTAACGGAGCGAACATTTTTTTTAATAACAGTAACGATTTGAACGTGTGAATTCTTTCTTTCATAAACTCGTTCTGAATTGCAAATCGACTCCTGGATCAGGCATAAATTCCGCCGCTTAATTAAGTCAGCTACCAGTTTATGTATCACACGGAGCGGAAACATTTACAACTTTATACAAATAACGGAATATGGAAATTCGTAATAAAATGAAACAGAACCACACGGTTTCACCATAATATTTGACCGTAATATTTGAACGATTACATAAACATGGAACTTCATTATCGAAGTTCATTGTATAATTTCAATTTCCATACGTGCTACATAAAAAACGGAAACATTTCCTCTAATTTATTCAATAACCGTCTCCTCGGACCATCATTCCAGATCCTCCCTAACCAGCCAACTTCCCGCGCCTTCCCATCGTTCAAAACAATTTCACATAATAGAGAGATTCGTCTCAATTATCACGGAAACCCATTCCATCCATCATTCGGACGTTCGAAAAATTCGTCGTCTACAAATTAAGGACCTCCAGCGAAGTGTCGCTTAAGAGCTCCCCGAATCTAAAGTCTACACCGCTTCCTCCGAAACTTCATTCACAGGAGGATCATTCAGACAGTTTCTCCATTGGCGAAGTCACGTTCGACGGCGTCTGCTCGTCCACACGAGTGTTAGGCGGCGAGTTCCAGGAAAGTTCTCGGAACAATCCGGCCGGACAGACGATTGTCCGGTGGGGCGCGACTCGGTGCCTAACCTCTAAACCCTTTCGCCGCGTTTCCGATCCATTGGAGGTGTAGCCGGTAGCCCCGATCGCCGGGGAAGCACGGTCCATTCACAAACTCGTGGCAAGTACAATGGTCCGTCTAACTTGGCACGCCTATCCGGCGGCTGGTGCCGGTTATCTAGGCAAATCCTCGGCCGGAATACCGGTAGGTTTCATTGAGCGAAGCCACCGAGCAATTTCGTGGCGGCATTGACTGCGCTAAGGCGACACTTGGCTCGGTGAATTGGCAGGAAGCCCGCGCCGCTTAACTCCTCTTTGTACGAGATTATCACCGGCCACTCGGGCCCACCTCCGCTACGCGAACCACGCTCTCACATTGTCACCGCTAGGACCCTTGACGATTCGTCCGCCGAGTCTTTCCGCAAGATCGACCCGCTCGCCGTGTCTCGAGTGGATCCTGGCCAGGTGATAGACACGGTCTCCGCTGAACCTACTTGAATCCTGTAATACCGAATTTTCTGGATATTTCTGCGACGTCTAAAGAGACTAGAGGATTCGGGCTAGAATATATACTTCGCTTCGGCGGACCATGGTCGTTCTACGATAGCTTCGTTGGTTATTGCAACTGTGAATGTCGAAGGTTTCTTGAATATCGATGTATGAAAGCAGGCGTCCAAGAGAGATGAAATTTCGTAGATAAGTAAACGCTCCGGGGGAAGTACCGTGTAATTGTTACAAAAGAAGAATCACAGTTCCTTGGACTGTGAAATTAGCGAAGTGACGCCGTAACTTCCATTTCATTCTAACGGAAGAATCGTCGGTGCTCCTTGAACTGTGAAATTAGGAGATTTTCGTAGTAATTCGCGATCGGTTATCGACGATGTTCATTCTTCGATACTTCTGAATTGAGTAAACCGATCATTCTTTGGAATCAGCGACGAATCGAGTTAAAGGAGTAATTACTATGATGAACCTTAGTTTGTTAGTTCATGTTCTCGAATCCGCTAGAGATGCTAATATATTCGAATTGATGAAGATGAAAGAATTAATTGCCGAAGACCTGTTGATCGAAAGACTTCCTTCATCCGTGACGTTCCTGGACCATTCGTCTAATCGCAGGGCCCGACGATGGCGCGGTGAAAATGGTCAAACACGGGGATACTTCCTGTTCCGTCTGAGTATCGTTTGCCGATCGTTAGCATCACTTTCGAAGTAGCCGTGGTCTGTTTACATAGGAAACGCGGCGCGGGGCTCTAATGGACGACAAAGCCGAAGCAGCCGGAGGCCATTTATCGCCGTGCTTTCTCGGTTAGCGCGTTTAACGCCGTATCAACTGACCGCATAATCATCGCCGTATGAACTGGAATAATGACTGCCGCGAGAAACGCGGCGGGCTAAGTGAATTAGTGGTGCGTGCCCTTGTCCATTCTCCTTCTTTTTTTTCCCTCCCTTCTTTCCCGTCTCGTGTCTCGTTAAGCGCACGCGTACTAATGGCACTCTTCGCCGTTCAAGAACGCCGAGCACGTTGCCTCGCGTCTATCGATTTTAAGCGGGTTTTCAGCCCGCTACGCGTCTCCGACAGCGAGCGCTATCAAGACACGACGATACAGGACTTCACGTTGGAATCTTTTCCAGCTTCTTTTTGCATTGTTTCAGCGTGTAGACAGATTTTACGGGTGTCTAGATTATAAAAATCTTCGAGGGGAGAATTATTAATGGTTGTACGCACTTTAGAGTGTTTTTAATATTATTTGCTGGCTATTGAAACCATTTGCGTGCGCGGTAATAATAGGGTGCATGAGAATTTATAGTAATCGATTAATAATTGGGAAACGATTATTTGTATAAATCAGAATTATCAACGGTTCATTTGTAGAAACAGAGACTATTAATTCCGCCTCGATCAATATAGAAATAACCATCGAATTTAACAAGAAAATTCCATGTAAATTCCGAAATAAATAAATCCAATTCGATCTCTCGAATAGAAAACACAGTCCCATATATCTCATTCGGGTTCGATTCAGCTTTCCGAAACGAAACAAATAAATTCCGTTCGTTTCGACGCGATCGCATTCCCACATTCCCGGCGAGCAAAAAACGCAATAACGAAAAACAAAATTCCTCGCTTTCCACTCATCACACGCATTCCCTGCGCGCATTAAATGGCATCCGGGCTTGGGGGCAACCCCGTAAGGTCCTCCGGTAACGCGTCAGACATCGATCCCGGCCTCTCAATAATCCCCATCCCGATCGTCGATGATTCTGTACTCGAGAGAAGCCGAAAGGAAAAAGAAAGAATAAGAAACAGGAAAACGATCTCGCATATTGCCCCGACTCGAAACGACGGCCAATCGCGTTACCGATCGCCGGCTCTCCTCTGTCCGCGCTCAATCCGGCGATCTGTCGGTCGGACTTTTATTGGCAATATTATCGAGCCCGCACATCTGTGCCGGACGCAACGCCTTATCATAACGAATGCGCGTGTTGCCAGGGCCCACGGATTAATCGATTTAACACGATTCCCCGAACCGGTGGCGGTGTTGTGTTAACGAGCCGTGTTCGGACAGATAACATCGGACACGGTTCCCCGTCGTCGCTCACCAATTATAATTGGTCCGTAATTAATGACACCGTTGATATTGACAGGTGGTACAGGCCCCGAAAACAGCGGCGCGCCGTGCCGCGCCGCGCCGCGCCGCGGCCAGGATTCACGTGAGCCACAAGTGTGCGCCGCGAATTACGTTTTTTCGCCCCCTTGTGATCCCCTTTTTCAGGCTCCGCTTATTTCCAGACTTAATTACCTCGGATGTTACAGCATAATTGACGTTCTCGCGGCCGCATCGATCCACGAGATATCGTTGGCACGGCCACGCCACGCCACGCCACGTCGCGCGCACGGCGCCGTTTACGAGCCACGCACCTTCCGAAGTATTTCGTGCTACCTGAATCCTTGCGGTTCGCCGGTCGAAATTATTTGGGAAATTATACAAGCCGACGGATGATACGGGGAAGGAGGACGGTGAAGAGGTGAAACGAAATTGCTGGTAAAAGGAATTCCGTACTTTCGGGGTTTTTATGGCTTCCGTTTAATGCCCGGCCGATTTCGAGGTTTTAATTGGACAGCCCTCTCGATCGCGATCGCCACTTCGAACGGACCTTCGTGTCGTTTATGTCCGCGCGAGCACGCGTTCGCTTTATCGGAATTGACTTTGTTAGATCGATGAACAGGGTTTAATTGATTTTCTTTTTTCCCGGCCCTTTTTGCTGCGGGGACGTCCTTTTTGTCGCTTGGGTATTATATCTGTATGGTTGGTTTCGGAGATATTTAACGTTCTAATTAGTAAGATGGGATTTAGTTAGTACGGTGAGCTTTTATTCTGCATTTGCGATAACTTGCTCTTCTGGTGCAGCGGTTGTTGGTTCGTATCTTTTTCAGTAGACACGACAAGATTATTAATCGAATAAAATGGTTATTATTCTAATATATCATAAATTATAATTGAACGAATTATAAAATTGTAAAATCAATTTGTATCGTATCTTTAAAGAATGTAATAAAGTAATAAGAAAAATCAAAGAGAACTACTAACTCATTTCTTCTGTAACACACTATCGCCAAACAAAAGAGTTACCAAATAATCGATAGTACGCTAATTGCTGTTAAAAGAATAATACGGAAGCATGTACGCACGACCATAATCTCCATATCATGTGCAAAACATCTGTACTTCCTCTGCGCAATTTAATCGTAACATAAGAAGTTACTTAATCTTCAAACGAATGGCGAATTCACTTTGTAAGTAAACACGAAGCCCGCGCAAACGAAACGTGCGTCGCTGTCGTGTATTTAATATCTCGACATAGAGTTATACAACGAGAGACGAATCTGCCAAGGGGGAAGATTGGTTCGGGTAATTGAAGTACAACACACTTTCTTTTTGTTCGTATCATAATACTTATTATTCACTAATGATACTTGTCCAATGGCGTTCCGTGTTTCTGTTCATAAAAATGCACGTGTATGAACTGTCCGTGTATCGATACGTCTGCGTGTGTAATCTGTTGTGTACGTGTGCGCGTCTGTGTGTGTGTTGTATGTGTGAGATGCAGTGGAAGGTCGATCGACCGATCGATACAAACGGCTCGAACGCGAGTTACGAGCCTTGAATATGCGCAAGTAAAAATTAATTTCACGAGAAGAGAAGGACGGGAATATATCGATACGATCGTGCTCGTTTCGATCGAATTGGCAATCGAACCGAGGAATAAGGGATGTCAAAACGGAACGTATATATGTACAACAGTTTCGCGATGCGTTCGGTTCCGATGCAACAGTTTTACAAAAAACTTATATATTAACCGGTGTATAACATTCAACAAACACAGCCCTCAAGTGAAACTAAATTCGACCGTTTTCTAAAACGAAAGAAATCGTTGCTTAGACGATTTAAATCGTTCGATTCGACGAGCTCTTCTTTCTCTCCCCGAACGTGTTCCGTGCGACTCCCACACAAACGTTACTTAAAATACAACGTTGAACGTAGCCGACTACTTAATTACGAGTTTACCCCGAACAGCTTAAAATGTACGTTTCTTTTTTTTTCTCTCTTTCTCTCTCTCTCTCTCTCTCTCTCTCGCTCTCTCGCTCTCTCTCTCGTTCTCTCTCGTTCTCTCTTTCGCGACGTGAGCGTGACTACTGTGTGGAAAAGGTGACTGACAAAGAAACTGTTACTTTCAATGATCTCCGCCGCAAGCATCTCTAGATGTAGCAGCAGCTAGGTCTAATGTGTAACTCGAACCTTTGCAGTTGAATCGTACGTGTATTTTGATTTTCATTGATATCTTTTAATATCGTTTTTTTCTTTTAATATTAAACTTACCGCTCGAATCCTCCCCTTTTTGCTGACCGAAAGTGTCTGAGCCAAAAATATGGTACTCCTTACATTTAGTTATAGAGAGATAGAGTCGCTCGGTATAGAGGAGAATGAAACGATTTGTACTTATCGATATACTTACGAAGATATGGCGTAAATTATTTTATCTTTGAGTACGTGCACTTTATAAAGATTATTATAGTGTGAGACTTTATACAGGAATAGTGATTTCGGATATAGATTTGGCCACTTCTTCCGTCGTTAAATATTGGTTAGCATATTGATTCGCGACGGAATAGATCAATTGATTCTTAATAACAATATGTAAACGTAAATTCGATTGAATGCGCTGTGTGAATTTTTGTAAGACGTTTTCAGAGTGTCCTTTTTCATAAGAAAGTGTTGAATTTTAAGGTAGTTTAGAAAGAAATCGATTTTTCTGCGTGATGTGAAACTTCTTTAAAGAACGATGCTATTCAAAACAGTGGAAATCAATTTCGAATATTTACCAATCATGTGAAAGATGCGAAGTTTATCAGTCTTAAATTGGCTTGGCGCATGCGAAACAGCTGAATCCTGATTGATGATTGAATTCTGAGATGTAACTGCACAGTTACGTGCTCCTCACTGAGCGCCATGTTGAAAAGATTGTCTCATCGGTAATATAGAAAAATATGGCAAATTAGAACCTGAAAGCATCTCACACCATCCAATTTATCCCACCATGCCAAAACATCTCCCTCATTTTTTAAAGGATTAAATCGAGCCAGTACACATCGATTTTGATAAAATTTATATTAAAACTAGTTCTTGGCGAAGTATTTGTACTTCTTTTTTTATCGTTTTCCATTCACGTTAAAGGAGCGGAAGTTGAAAGCCCTCAAAGTTAACGGTTGGAAACTCCCGTGAACTAAAGAGTAAAACGAAACTACTTTCTCATAATTTAACTGAAAATCTTCTCTCTCTTGTTAAACTTGAAAATTCACATGAAAACCACTTAAAATTCAGTAAGAAAAATTACTGGAGAAACTAAAATCTCCAAGACATTAAGCAAATACTTCCCTTTTCTTTCGTAGTTACCAAATACTTCTCCAAAAACCATTGTCCACGGAAACGTTATCAAAATCGACGTGCAAGGGCACGATCCCGTTATCTGAACAATTTTCAACAGCGCGCAGAGCCTCCCGAGTAACCGCAAGCGCATGCAGAGCAACCGAACAATAACGACTAAAACTCCACTAACAGAATACCCTGTCGCACAACGAACGAACAGCATCAAGGCAACAACCCGTCGACAATCATCCCGCTACCGTCACCTTTTCGATTCGAACTGCAAAGGTCTCACGGCCTGTCCACGGGAACCACCGCGACACGCGAAACACCGATCCACCGAATACGCGACAACGCAACGACGACAAATCTACCGGCTCACATCGCGTTCGAAAATACCGTCGAAACTATCTTGACGACGCCCGTTGTTACCGAGGGACACACACCGAGACTTGCATGGAAAAAGACTTGACTCATTGAAAAAAGCTCGACACACGCGGTTACAATGCGCATCGACTTTCTGGGACAACGATTACAACTATCCGTAATATGGTGTATACTCGCCTAAAATCGATTGATATCGGTAAATGACTTAATAAATTCCGTTAATATCACAACACAATGGGATCCCGAGCGGCTCACTTGATCTCGTACGCGTCCAGGTTGCCCTTGCGCCTCCTGTACACGGCCGGCTGACGTTGTTGCTCGTTGGTGCGGTTCCCTTGGCCGATCGACCGCTTCACGTTCGCCCGGTACTCGTCCTCGTACGCGTTCAGATACAAATTCTTTAGAAATATTTGATTATCCAGCTCCGACGGTGGCAGAAATCGTTTCGAGCGGCTCTGCTGCTGAGCCTCGAGCTCGTTGAACGTGAACTGCCTGGCTCTGTCGTCGTTGTAGGCCTCCCTCGATCGTCTCGCGGCCCTTCTCACTCTCCTCGATCCACCTTTCCTCATCAAGGAATCGTTCAATGCTAGCAGCCTCCTCTTCTGACGAACTGGACCAGCGTCTTCCGAAGTGTTTCGTATCCGTTTGCTCCTGTGCTTCGGCACGTCCTCTTTCGCGGGGATTTCGTTATCCAGCACTGAAGACTCTTTGCTAGGAGCTACCGAGGACCGATTCTCGTGGCTTTCGATCTCCCTGGGTGTTGCCAACGTGGTGCTTGTTGTGCTTGTCGTTGACGTGGTCGATACCGTGGTCGTGCTGGTACTCGTAGACGATGATGTCGTCGATGGCTCCGGTGACTCCTCGCTGCTGTTCAGTTTAGCCTCTATGATATGTTTGAAGAACGCGTACATCTCGCCCACCGTGAACGTGCTGCCGTTCCTCACCGTGAATTTATCGATGTTCATCTTTTTGATCAGCTCCTCTGTGGCGTTCTGAGCCTCTAACATCGATAGCTTCTCTGTTACGTAGCTGTTCACGAATTCATAGAATCCTTTGTAGTAGTTCTTCCTGTGCTTCTTCTTGTCTTTGGACTTTTTGCCTTTGTCGTGCGGCTGACCTTTCTTCTTCGAATCCTTGCGACCCTGCTTCTCGTTCCAGCGCACCGACTTGTTGTAGAACCTCATGATCTTCTCGAACTTTCGTTTCAGTTTGATGAACTCGTGTTGGTTCCGTATCTCGAAGTCCGAACGGTTCCGACTGTTGTTGCGGCGCGACTCGGATAGGTCCACGTGGAAGAAGTTTTTGCTCATCGCGTTCAGCAGATCGTGCATGCTTCCGTTGGCCGAGTTGTTCGACTGTCTCGCGTCGATGCGCTGTAGCTTCCTGTAGGCGATCTCCAGGAAGTCGATCATTTTCTCCTCGCGAAGTTTCGACCGGTTCCCGTGGCTTAAGTGCTTCTTCCAGGACAAACTGTCCGTGGAGTTCTCGTGGTGGGTGATATTGGTGGACTTTATCACTTTGTGCTTCCCGTGATCCTTGCTCTTGTTCAGTTCTAGGCGCAGGAGCTTCTTGCCGATCTTCCGGAAGAACTCGATGAATTTTCTGGCAAAGAAGATCGGATATTTCAATACTATAGAGTAAACTTGCTGGAATTACCTTCGTTATTAATTTCTAATTTATTTCCATATCTATCGACCGACAAAGTCGCAAGAATTGATAGAAAACTGTGTCCCAATATTTTAGAACCTCGGTTTATACAATATTTATGAATAAACGCACATTTTAATGTTCAGTTTTATACGCCTCTTCATAAGATATAAGAAAGATACCAAATTTCATCAAAACACTACCCCAACAAGGTAAATCTGTATGAAACTCCTAGTCTACTCATTATGTAGCTTCAAATTCTCTAATCCAAAACACAATCATCAAACAATGTAGAAACAAACTACCTAATGAATCATAAGGAAACATTTATAATGCACCAATAAAGCAAAATTCTCATTCGCAAACAAACCATACCTGTAGCTCATAGTAAGATCCTCGTCGCTAATGGACCTCTTGCGTCTGCTCCACCGCAGTCTGGGATGCTGACCAGGGATGCATTTCGGTAAGTCCTTAGGACTCCACTTGCCACCGATGCAAGTTGCTCCGGTAGGTCCCTCGTCCAGCACGAATCCCTTATCGCAGTCGTACATGATCTGCTTGTTGTTCACAACCTTCTTAACGTATGGTCTATAATCGTAGACCCCCATGTTGCCCACTAAAAAGACTTTCCCGTTCTCAAGGAACCCGGGGAAGGGACAGAAGACTTGGCTGCACTGAGGAATGTCCCCAGTCCAGTTGCCATACTGGCACTGAACAGATATAGAGTCGTTCATTGGTCCACCTCCAATCAGCTCGAATCCGTCCTTGCACTTGAAGACAGCCCTCATCCCGTGGTCCGTCTTCGGCGCGATCACCATGCCATTTTTCGGCGGTTTCGGCATCTGCTTGCACCTAGCTGGCGAACAGCTGGGCACTATGGACCAGGTGCCATTGTTGCATACCACTGGAGTGCTGTTAGCCGCGAACTCGTAGTTCTGCACGCAGGAGACTAGAAGCCTCTCGCCGTGCTCCACAACGGTGACGTTGTTGATGTGATCGTTCTCGTGGCTAGCCACGGTAACGTTGCCGTTTTCGATCTGGGGGACCACGCACGGGGCCAAACACTGCGGCAACGGGTAACGCCATTTCCCTTCGGCCTGACAGACGGACGAAGTATTTCCCTCGAGCTTCATGTGATCGTTGCACCGGAATATTATGCTCGCGCCTAGGCCCGTACCTTCCGCGGAAAGAATTCGAGAAATTAGTAGGCTGATTCATTGAACGCGATTTTCTTTTGAGAGCGTCAGGTTGTTCCACTGGGACTGCAGCTTCATTGAAACTACTACTCCTTGTAGAAGTCAGGTGAAAATCGATGGATGAATTATTCGAGCATATGTTAGACATGGTGAATACATAAGGACCATTTACTTCCTGAAGGAATCTTGACTTACTTTTATTAAAGTCTTATTATGAAATTAATGCATTCAGGGGTCTATCGTTTAACGGTATTCTTGATCAAGGTATGCGTAATTGTAAGAGTTTCGAGGCAACTGTCGTTTTTGTTTTAAATATAAAATAATGTGTAAGAAGTTATTAAGTAATCACAGTGTTATGAGAAGGTTACTAAGGTTCTTGATAACAATAAACCCGTAAGGAAGATAAATTATCCTATGCATCAGAAGAAAAGGATTTATATAGCAATTTATTTTTACAAGGAAGAGCTTATTTATAATATAGCGGAGAATTTTTTTTAATCTTTCAACTCACCAGCCTCGATATTCTCAATCCAACCGTTATAGAGAACGCCAGGTGAACCGCAATTAATTTCCTGGCAAGTGGGCATCTTTCCAGTCCATTTTCTGTCAGCGCCGCAGCGTCTCGTTCCCGCGCCTACCACTGTGTACCCATAGTCGCATTCGTAATGCACGATGGAATTGTATGCGTACGAGGTGTACACCGCCTTCCCCTTTACAGGGTTTTCTGGTATAGGGCATTGCACCGTGGTAACCTGAAGATGAAAATGTTTCCATGTTGGAACGCGTGGATTGGGAGTGACACAGGGTTGGGAGATGTTAGGGTAGGTTTTAATCAATTTTATGCATGGGACGTAATGCGGACAAAATTGAACGTTTTCATTAATTTTATAAGGCAAAATGTAGAGAAGGTAAACCTTTAATTCTACAATGTAAATTATTCTATACATTAATTGTGCATTAGTAATTTTAAGAATTATTATGATCAGGAGTATGATGATATTCTTTCAAATTTATAATTGTTCGAATATATAATATTAATATGTTATCCTTAGATATACGAATGAAACATAAAACTTTGAAGTGGCATTGGATAATGTTTTACAATACAGGACGAAGGAACATGAAATATGAAAATTATGTAATTAAAATGATGTGGTTGTTGGAGTTCAATAAAATGAGGTTGATTCGTGTGATTATTGTGTAACAGGACCATTCATAAGATGCTTACTTGCACGCATTGTGGCGATTCCTTTGGAGCCCATGTGCCATCTGCCAAGCAGATCTTTTCGGCCTTGCCAACTAATTCATAGCCGTCAGCGCAGTAATATGATACACGACAGTCGTATGTGTAACATTCGCCTTGAAAAGGAATTACTTTGCTGTATATCATTTCTCAATGAAGTCACAAATTCATTGGGAACGTAGTAAGTTATCTAGTAACAATTTCGCGTCTATCAAAGCAACAAATAACGTTAAAGTATTTACTATGATTAATTGTAATACTGTATTATACTAATTATATTAATATTTATAAGGTTATTTCACGCAACATAACTATCGTTTAAAATTACTGTCACATAGTAAATTTAAAAGGTATTTCAAGTATTGAAAATTACTTTCGCATATTTTCAAGACAAATACTAATCATAGATCGAAGAAGACTGATCATCAAATTTTTAAACATGGTTAGACTTATATCAAGTTGTCACAAAATATTGTGATCTTTCCACTGCTGTATTAATAAGAGAAACGCGATAAACGTATAGAAGATGTATCAACAAGCTATCAGAGAAGTCGAATGTTGATTATTTTCCAGATCAAACATAAGTTAATGCGATTCAAAAATTGCATAACAATGAAACACTTCCACGAATATCATCCTATCAACCTTACATTACTTCATGCAGAAACGGCAAGCAAATATTATCATTTAGACTCATCAGAACAACTTTACGCCCCTACTCTACGCCACAGGGTTGTTTTCCATACCCCGGATAAAATAAACAAGCAGTTTATCAATCCCTTTATATTATACATTTTAACGTCATATGCGTTAAGTTTTGTATACCAACAATTTACACTTGCTCGATGCATAGAATTTCCATTAATATTCATCAAATATCATCAGCAATTGAATATAAATCATAAAACGTTACGCACTTGTGACGTACGAAAAGATCTCCACAAAATTACGCAATTGCAAAATTTAACGACAGCCGTATATTCTCATTTCATTTTTCATTTGCCAAATGCATCGGCGACAAGGAGGTCCTTTAAACTCTACAACTCTACAGAAAGTGTAAATCTGCTCAAACCTCTGCAAATCTATTATCAAAAGCAATCCCAGACCAAACGGAACGTGAAACATCGAAACTCTCGAAACGAGGTAACAGCAAGAACATTCCCCAAAAAGCCATACATACCGCCGTGCCAGCCGTTCGGGATGTCCGCCGGTGGTTCGCACTTCTTCGGCTCGCAGGTGATATCAGGGCCGAACCAGCTCGCGACACCTTCCATCAACAGGCACTTGGCCTTCCTAACCCCGTTGGTCACGTATCCGTGGTCGCAGAAGTACTGAATGACGCTGTCCAGGTCGAAGGTCGTCTGTTCGACGAGCCCGTTGTGCCGCGCGTTTTTCACTTTCGGCGGCTGCGAGCAGAACGAAGTCGGGTCCTTCTTGCACGACGGCGTGGTGCCACTCCAGTGTCCATCGGCTCGGCAGGTCCTCTCGGTCAGGCCAACGGTGAAATAATCAGAATCGCAGATATAATGAGCTCGATCACCGAAGAATCTCCCGGTGACGGTCATCACGCCGTGCTGGATGTCCGTCAGCGGCGGGCATTCCCTCTCCGGTTTGATGCAGGACATGCCGCAAGCACCGTCGCACCTGCACTTCTTCTTCTTGCTCTTGCAATCCTCGTCGGTGGAGCATTTCCTCAAGCACTTCTGGCCGAGCAGCCCAGCCTGCTGCTCGTCCCTCGGGCACATCGCTGACGGTGAGTTCCTGGGATTCTTGTAAATCCTTCCATCGTCGTCCACCTCGGGTTTAGGCTGGTAGGTCTGATCATCGTCGTCGTCGTCCTCGTCGTCGTCCCAGTCGTCGTCGTCGTCGTCGTCGTCGTCGACCGCCGCGGCTTGTTGGCGTAACTTCGATTCAGACGCGAGAAACAGGGTGCAGAGGAACAGCAACAGAAGAACCGCACTCGGCCTCATGGTAAGTCTCTTGACGCGCACTTAGGGGATGGAACGGCGAAGAACGAACTGTTTTTCCTTTCACTGGTCAGGGACGCGTTCGCATGACATACGAACCGACGGACGGTTTAAAGTTCTCTGACGGCGTTCCTGGCCGGGGGACGTCGGCCCGTCGACGCGCACCGCGTTCCGGAAGCACGGCTCAAAGTACGAGTCCCATCCCGAGGCTCCGCCGAGGACGACGTCGTTTCTCTCGCGACCGTGACTATTAATCGAGTCTGCCTCTTCGGCGTCCAGGAGGATTAGGACCGCGCGTGTCCTCTCTCTCTCCGTTGCCGCTCGCCGCCTCTCTGTTCCCCTAACTACGCGGGATTTTTTTCTTTATTGTGCGGACTGCGGCCCCGTGCTGCCGGGAATTCGCGGATACTCGCGCATCTCTGCACGCGCATTCAGCCTGTTCAATACATCTCCTCACTCGTCCAGCTTCCAGCAGATGGCGAGGGACAGGGGTAAAGCTCTCGGAGTTGCGCAGAAATCGACGACACCTCTCGTTCGGACGCGGCACGCGGGAGGGGGTGGCGCGCGGCGAGGGGATGCTTCCGAGGGGTTTTTATAGGAGACCGTTACAATCGGACGCGATCGGATACGTACGCCTACCGAAAAATAAATTATCGACGCTGTGTTGTCGTTTACCGGGATGCATTGGTTCCATCGTGGAACGTTGTAAAGCATCGGCCGGGTTTTTTCGATTGGTTTCGTGCAGACAAATTTGTATCGATTCCAATGGTAAAATAATGCTGCGATCGCAAGTGGAGGGTTCTCTTTTGTTCGATTGTGTTGACGATGAAATTGGTATTGAAAGGGTTTCGGTATATTTTGTGTTTCAACATGATTGGAAACGGTTAGACGGACATGGTTCTGGAAAATGAGGAATATGAGTTTAGTGTGGTTGATTCTTAAATGAATTAGATAGATTGTTTTTTAGAATAATAAATACTGTGCAATTGTTGAGATGTTACTTTGTATAATATAGAAATCTGAAGTGATTAAAAAATTATTAACTGTGCGTAGAGTCCTTTGTAAAATGTCGCAGTAACGGAAAGGCAGGGAGAATATTTGGTAAAAAAAAAAGTAAATCGGAAAAGGGAATTTCATTCAAAACTCAGTTTCAATTTGTTTTAATAGTTTATACTATTCGCGGCGGGCGGCATGTCACTATTTTTCTCGGCAGGAATTTGTAGCGTTCCACCGCGCAGAACACGGAGAAATCAACAAAACACAGATAACACTACCACGGCGGCTGTTTCCAACAAGTAGAAACAGACAGTCAGGAGCAGACATGTCGGCCAAGTGGTATTCAGTAGCACGCGCACTCCAGAGATCTTCAAAGTTAATTTCCTCGGAAATGAGGCTTCGTACGAAAAATATTTGTTCTACATTTTCAGCTTATTTTCCAGTGAAGTATCATCCGGTGTGCTGCAACGCCATAATTTTTTAGGTACTCCGCATCCGCAGAGAATACGCTGCGCGAGGGGATGCTAACTTCCAATGGAATAAATGTTCCGGAACGAAAGTATTAGTAAATGCTTCCCCGGGAACTTGTTATTAGGAAACTTTACGCACCGTAGATTATTACGCCCGCCATATTTTACTTTTTTCCATGAGAATCTATGTGAACTGCTTAAGAGGAGAAAAACTAAGGAATGAAGTTTTCTTCTAGATTGCAGTGGATGAATAGAATTCAGAATTACCTTAGCTTGATAATGAAAGTATAGTAATAAAGTTGATAAGAAAGTAAAAATTATTCATAAATTATTGTTTAAATAATTTTACATCGAACATCAATCATATTTTGAAGTATAACAATTGTACAATACAGTCAACAAAGTTTCCAATTCGCGTTTCATTGGTACGCGTATTCATCCTCTTCGACAAGAAAAATACAGAAATATAAACGTTACCATTTTCCCTCGATAAAAATGTTTTACTGCCTAAAAAACGAAGCTTCGCTTTTATTGTTTATTCTATCTACAAAGTTCTGCATTTCACGATGAACGAATTCATCTTGGCTTCAATATTGTAAAAGTTACGAAAGCAACGTATACGAAATTCAATCAAATGTCGCAAAGGAGTTTCTTAAAACGCACGTTCCACAAAACCCATTTCCCCCGCGTCAATTCTACATGTATCTTCCATTTCGGATATCTCCTTCTCGGATCAGAACTCCAGAGTAAATAAAGTCAGACGCGGGAACAAATATTCCCAGGCGTCGGAATAAAGTTCCGCGCTATATTTCTCCAAGAGAGCAGCTTTCACAATACCGCTACGCCACGATCCTCCAATTTCCCCTGTAACAACGGGAGTTTCTCGATAAACAGTCCGAGAGCGATTTCAAATAGCCACGGAACCGTTTCCCCGCAATTCCAGCCGCGGCGACTAGAATCTCATGACCCGGCTCAATTACACATATTTTCATATCTCCGCCATGGTAGCGTTACCCGCTCGCAACACCGAAAACCATCCGGCGTTTACCCGCCGTCGGGGCCGAACGTTATTCCGAAGCACCGCACTTCACGTTAACGCGCGAAATCACGAAAGCAGGCAGCTGCAGCCGCTTTCTAACTCGTTCACACGTGATTTGCCGTCCAAACAAATTCAACGGCGAGTTTAAATCGGCCAAGAATTTCAGCAAATACACCCAACACTTTAATTTCCGCTTCGATTCATTATATCCCAGCAAACTTAAACAGAACACTCCAGAAGGAACGTGCGATGCAAAATTTCCACTTCGTCCGATTTTTACAGTGCCACGCGGATACGCGCGGTCAACGAGGCGTGCGAAAAATGGACGACTCGAATACCGGAATATTTTGAAATTCGTATAACTGGAGTTGGGATAACAGAGTTTCCGCTGCGTTTTTCTATCCGTTCGTTGCACGATTTGCATGATAAAGCAGCGATCCTCCGCGCTCGCGCGACCGGCTGAAAAACGCCGGAGATAGCGAGACGCGTGGGTAGTAGCCGGATCAGTTTTCAGCGGACAAAACTCGATCTACGGTGCTTGTTAACCGCGCCACGAGATAATCCCTGATTCCTAAGTTAGCCGAGTCGTTAGAGTAAGCCCGTGTCCGCCATTGTCTTCGTAACGATCGTAATCAATCGGTACGGTTCGATGCGCCGGGTTCACGCCGTAGGTGATCCCCGGCCCAATCTCAGGTATCAGCTTCATCGTTCTCGCCGTGTGTCCCCCGGATGTCTTCATTTGTCTTATTCAAATGAGACGCCTTGGGACGGCCTTCGAACGACTGTCCGACACCGACCGACGCCGTAACATCTGAAACGACGGAACCGGGAATCCCTCTGCGACCCGTACTCCGAGATTTTTAGGTTAGGATCGCGGTCCCTGCTCCCGGGCGAGCGAAACTTGCTGAAGAATGGAGCTACCGAAGGCTGTCACCATTGGACAGGGGATCTTTTGGGATTGAACGAGGAAATTGGAGTGGATTTATTTATTTCGAAGTTATTCTCTGCGAGGGGAAGTTATGGTAATTTATGTAGCGACTGTTGGGAACTTCGTATTCAAATAAGCGACATCTTGTTTTTCTATGGCGACTCTTTCCAGGGTTACAGTGAGATGAAGATTTCCCGAATCCGCGGATTTTATTTATCCTTAAAGGGGAGCGTGTGTAACAGAATTTTGTTTAACACCTTCGTTTCGTGTTTCGATTGTTTATTGTTTTATTGTCGAAAAGATAACGGTGAATTTTCTGGGTAATACGATGTAATGGTTTAATGCTTTGAAAATAGGTTACGAGTATTTTTCAACAAAGACTCCCTTTCGATGAACAATCACCGTGTGCTCTTAAAAAATAAATAACACTCGTAACGGTTTTATTAGTCATTTTTATTTGCCAGGCTAGTACCAGCAGGCTGCGTTCATTAATATCAGCGTTACAATAGGGCATCAGCAATGGAGATGATTCCCCGGCAATGTATTCAACAGTTTCTCCGAACTAATTTCCAAGGCTGATCGCGTTCGCAGCATCGTGGGATACAAACGATGCGACTTTTCCTCTTGGTGCCAACGCGAACGGCCTCGGAGGGTTATTCATTGTCGGGAGTGTATCTTCGTTTAGACGCGAACGTCAGGTGAGATTGACAGAGTGGCAGTAACTCGGTAGCTGAAAATGGGAGTGGCTGAAAGACGAGAGGACAGCTCGCTCAGCGACATCCCTGCGGCGCCTCTTCGCAGATCTCGAGCCAAGACGTAAGGACGTAAGGAAACAGTGGTTCTCAACGTTCCATCGGCCCTTTTTATCCTTAAGAACACTAAAATACACAAAATGAATCACTACTGTAAATAAACCAGAGAAAATCATAAAAGAACACGCAATCCTTACCGTTCAAACATTTAAACACGTATTTAAACTAGAAACCTATTGTTTTATTTCCCACTGAACGACGCCATTATTCCTCGCAACAAAACACGAATTCAGTATTAACAATTCACGAGAATCTACATTTTCCCTAAAATACATTACACACAATGCACGTTTTAAAACTCTTAAATGTAATTTCTACTTCAGCCTCGATTCAACCGATGAAATAAACTTCCTCTCGCAGGATCGCATCAATTAATCCGCGCAGCATAGAAATCCGAATAAAAATCCGCAGCCCACTTATTGTAAATTCCGCTTATCCTCCAGACAGGCAGAAGGAAAAAAAGACGACGCGACATTCGCCGGTAGCTCCTCTCGCCGAAGAATATCATTCCAATTAAATTCAAAAGTTCACTCGCCGCATTGTCTGTCGAACGCGGAAGAGGGATACGGCTTTGTCGAGTTTATTAAACTAAAGGGAAATATTTCATTAAATGAGACTCTCTGCGAGAGGCAGTTCCGTTGTGTTTGTTTCGTCAAATGAAGAACGTCCTTTTTGTCGCGCTGTGGGCGGTACGCTCGTCTCGGGCACTGAAAGAACGACGAGCCCGCGGTGTCGGCTTACAACTGCGTGCCTACGTTACGTCGCGTTATCTTTTTTAATTTATCTCCCTCCCCCCTGCGCCCCAATAGTAACAGATAGACGCTGACAATAAACGCGAGCACGATCTACCGGCTTCGCTCCTTCTGTCGACGTCACCCCCCGGCGGATGTTGTGTATCGATCAGAGGGCGGCCACGGAAAATCACTGCGATGTGTCACTCAAACGTTTGTACGTTTTCATGTGTAACCTTCCATGTGCACGCCGAGCACTCGAACCTGCTCGAGTGCGCCGGTGGTTTTTAATATACGAAACTTTCTTCCCTCCAAGTGCGCTCTCCGGGTTTTCCAGTTTTTCGATAATATACGATGCCACTGCTATATAATACTCCACCGACCCTTGATCTAATTTCTCGCACAATCGATACGGTATTCTTGTTTGGAGAAGAGGC